TTAATTGATTTTTATTTTATTTTATTTTACTGATTTTTATTTTATTTTATTTTATTTTATTTACTTTTTTTAAAAAGTTATTAGTTACAACTTTACTTTTAATGAAATCCAACAATCCAATCAATCATCTGTGGAGGAAAGTGAAGTGAATTTTGTGGAAAAGGGACCCAATTTTGTGGGGAGTAACAAAAGAGTAATATAACTATTAGTGTAACTAATTACTGTTGGCAGAGCGTAATAAGTCATGAGTAATAAATTGCAATTTTTGAGTAACTAGCCCAATATTGATTATGAAAGGGTGAGGAATTTAGATGTATTAGTAAAAACTGGTTATCATTTTTCTTTTATTTCCACATGTTAAACATGGCGCCTAAATGATGAATGCAAGAAAATACACACATTCCACACATTTGAAAAGCAGTTCACATGTGATAACTGTGGCGTGGTATTAAAGTACCACAGCCTACTTAAGCTCAGGTTTGAGGTATTTGTGCTTTACTTATGTGAAGAGAGAAATATTGTTAATAGTTAATATTATTTTCATATGATCCGATTATAAAATATAATGCGTTGTTATACGTTAACCAACACAACATTATTTATATCTCTATCTATCTATTTTTTATTCTCTCAGTACATTTTGCTGATAACACTTCTGTCCTTTTAGAAGTGAGATTTTGTATGCAGATTCTGGCATCCAACAAAAATCTGTGTAAGTTAATGTTGAGCCACATTTTCTCTTAACACTGAGGACCATATTAGATCTACTAATTAATTTGTGACTGTAGTGCAAGTTAGTGGGCTCCTGGGCCTATTAGTCATCTGACAAACAGGCTGACTGGACATCAACATCACTAACATTTATCAGCTCCTGGTACATCTTGGTCAGACAAAACATTCCTCCTAAACATGCTAAAGCCTCCTCTTGTGATAACGATTCAGTGGTTACAATGAGATTGGGATTGAAACAACGATGAAGTCTTTGAAAAGGACATGATGAATTTAAAGCAGGAAATGGATGCAACGTCCACCAAGCTGGATTACACTGAAAATCAGTACAGGAGGTCAAACGTTTTAATTGGTGGGAGTGCAGATGAGAAAGGAGAGAACTGGCGCCTTAAAGACAGACAGACTATTCTTCTACCAAAAAGATTTAAGGACACAAACATCTGAATAAATGAAGACTGGAACTGAGGAGAAAAGAGCTGCTGCCCAAGTGTGAGCCCCTTTTCTCTGGCAGCTTTCAAAGCCAGCTTGAACTAGAGCTGTTCATCATACCCAGAGGAGGACAAACTTCATCTTCAGCTTAAAGCACCTCATGGTTCAGCATTTCTAGAATCTGCTCCTCAGACAATATTCATGTTTTTGTGTAGTCAGAATTACACCTGGGTGCTATTTTTGATTATTCTGAGCTGGTAGGGATAACTATTTGTTGCATTTTATGTTCAGGAACACATTTTAGTTGTGATACAGAAAGATAAAATGAACACTGACATTGAGCTAATGTGGCTTCAGATTCATCTTCTTTATTGTAAGCCTACTCTTGTTGGCTGTTGTTACAGGCCACCCAGTTCTAATGTCAATTGTTTGGATAGAATATGTGAAAAAGTAGATATAGTGATGGATGAAAGATAGGATTTTTTTGTAGGGGACTTGAATATCGACTGGTTTTCTAAAAATTGTCCATTACAAAAAAAGTGGATTACTGTGGCTGATGTTTGGATTGATGGTTGTGACTCAACCTACAAGAATTATCACACCCGTTGATGGTGTTGAAACCTCAGCCTGTATTGATCATATTTTCACTAACATACTGTACATGAGGTGTGTTCACAGGCACTATCAGTGGCAGTGCGATGCAGTGACCATAATCTGATTGCTTTAATCAAGAAAGACAAAAAGGCCCAAGTTTGGTATTAAGATTGTTTATCGTAGGTCATATATAAGATTTAATGCAGACTCAATATTTTAGGATATTATTATTTTTAGGATTTAAAGTTGTCTGACAAATGTCAGGAAAATGACGCAAACACTGCTTTGAAAAATTTCATGGACAAATTAGTAAAGTCAGTGGAAATCCATGCTCCACTCCAGGCTAGTAGTGCACTGTGGTTAGATGATGAGCTGAGATGCTTCAAAGAGTAAGGTAACTGCCAATAAATCAGGGTTTTTGTAGATAGAAGTCTTTATTGCAACTTGAGAAATAAGGTTACTAAATTAAATGATATTAAAGTGAAATTATATTTTTAAACAAAAAAATTCACAGCTCTGTAAATAATGTTGTGAAAGACTTGAAAATTAAATAATGTGCAAGAAGTCAGGTAATTTTTAAAGGTATATGGAATGTGCAGGTCAGATTATCACCAAGCCATATGATGTAGCTAATTAATTTATTTTATCATATTATAAAGTGGACAGTTTAAGATCTAATATGTGTTCTTCCAACATTGTTAACAGTATTATGAGCAATAAGACATTATGTTTTTCATTTGATCAGGTTGACCAAGACACAGTTGAGAAGATGTTGCTCTGTCTTTCAGATGAATCATCTACTGGCAGAGATAACCTGAATGGAAAAAGTTTAACAATTTTCCAAACCTACGTATATATAATATTTTTAATAGACGCTTCCTGAGTGGTACCTGTTTGGAGCTTTAGGAAGAGTCTAAAATCATACCTTCACCCAAAGATGGAGAAGCAGTAGCTCCAATTGTAGACCTATTAGTGTACTCCCTATGCTCAGTAGGATACTTGAGAAGATCATTTTGAATCAAATGTTAAATTGTTTTAGTAGAGATGGACTACTTATAAAAGCACAACATGCTTACAGACCAGGTCACTCTACGGGCACCGCATTAGATCAATGGGTAACATATATGGATGACAGGAAACTAGTTGGGGCTGTGCACTTTGGATTTCACTGCAGCTTTTGAGGTCATTGACCACAGCATCCTCATTGCCAAGCTTAAAGGTTATGGTATTTTCACCTTTAGCTCTTGCTTGGATGAAGTGTTATCTCTGACAGCAAAATCGTCATCCTATCACTATTCACTATTTAGCTTTTATTGTTATTGTCTTTGTATGGACCCCAGGAAGACTAGTGCCCACTTTGCGGAAGCTAATGGGGATCCAATTCAAGGATAAAGAAAAAAGATTAGGGTTAGGGGAATAAGAGGTCCTGTATATTTTATTCCTTATTTCCTGGCAAAGGCAATTTGTTTCTATTGTGAAAATTGTTCTGTTATGTCATAAGTGTGTTCTTACTGATGTGACTCAGTTTATTCATGTAAGCTGTGCAAAAATTGGGTTTAGGGTTTATTTTATTTTTTATGTTACATTGTTTTTTTTTTTTTGTCATAGCAGGCCACTCATTTCCTGTGTTTGATTGACCATAATTAATAGCAGCTTACAAAAAGCCTTAAAATATCACCAAGCCGCTGTCTCTCTCACATGAACATCTTCATTCCCAAGGCTCTCTTAAGGAGTTCATGGAACCATAATGGGAGTAAAAGCAGCATTCACTCTAGCTCAACACCAGACTGATTCCAAAATATTGGAGTTGGCGTTGTTTGGGCACTAATGACAGCCCATCTCTCCACCCATCAGAATAATTACAGCATGACTCAATGGGCTTCCGTATTGCTGCTGACATGTTCACATGAGATCTCACAGCAGGCAGTAACACGCTTTAAAAATGGGCCAGGGAAGCATGGATTTATAGATAGCGTACAGTAGATGACAGAACACTGCTGGCATTTTAAATCAGTCTAATTTCACATATGCATCTTGAATGTTTGGCTTCAGTAGTTCCTATCTTGTAAGTGATATTTGAGATATTAATAAAGAATCCGGGAGAATAGTCCTGCTGGAGGCCGTGCAGAATCTCCATTACTGCAATGATTTACGACTGGGTGTTTCATTTTTAATTTTTTTTTTAAGGGGGGGGGGGGAGTGGGGGGTGCAGACTTGCACAGACTCTAAAGGCGGGCTGAGCACTCATGAATGCGACCCATCCACATGTTGTCAGTAGCTGGAAATGCTGAGTGGAGGAGCGGAGCGCACCAAACTGGGAGCGCACGGAAACTTGTAGAGAGCACTGTTATTAACATCATTTCTTATTTCTTTTCGTTTTTTAAAATTCCCTGAAAGGAGAGATACCATTTTGATACACCCCGTCCTTTGGTGCATTTGGTTTTTGTTTTTTTTTCGCAAGAGCATGACCAATGCTGTCCCTATGACTGATTTTACTTGAGGCTATAGGGGAGAAAGCGAAATGGAGACGTTTACAATACACGACATGCTCCTGAATTCAACTGACCTCAACAAGATTTTATGTAATTTTGGGATCAAGAACATTTCGGAGTGCGAGAGCGAGCAGGAGCCCTCACCCGAACCTCAAGGTACAGTGGATTTATCTATTTTATATTAATATCAACTGCTATCTTGTCCAATAGTACATCATTGTATTCAGGAATTTTATATTCATCTTATTCAGAGATTTGCTGTTAATTGTATTCCAAATGCGACCTGTAATCTCCAATTTATGCCAAAAGAGCGACTGCTTTGGGCATTTTCTTTGCGTCAGTGCGCATTACGCATATGGCTCAGGTCCTCCATAAAGCTGATGTACTCTGCTGTGTGTTAATGGTGACACATATGTGGTCACTGTACACTAATTCTGCCAATGTCAAGTGCATATAATTGCCAGTACACACTTTATGGCAGCAGAATAGAGAGTAAATGGCACAAACATTTCACATTTGTATGGTTAAAGTCCAAATAAATAAAGGAGAAATAATAAATTCCATTTAGACTTATAAGTCTAAGACATAAAAAACACTATACTGGCCAAATTACTGTACATAAATCGCTAGATATTAATATTGTAGGAGTATTAGGATGTAAATTAATCTTAGAATAAAGACACAAGAGGGTGAGTGCGAAAGAGTGAGTCAAAATCACGTTTTAATAATGACATATACCCAGAGTTCACGCGTGTGTCTCTCTTTGCACTCCGTCCCAGACATCAACCAGACAGTGCGGATCGTCCTCTACAGCCTCATCTTCCTCCTCAGCGTCCTGGGCAACAGCCTCATCATCGCCGTCCTGGTGAGGAACAGGCGCATGAGGACCGTCACCAACCTCTTCCTCCTGTCTCTGTCCATCAGCGACCTGATGGTGTCCCTGGTCTGCATCCCCTTCACTCTCATCCCCAACCTCATGAGGGACTTCGTCTTTGGCACCGGCATATGCAAGCTGGTCATGTACTTCATGGGTGAGTGAAATGATGATGAAGGTTATTCTTAAATTGTGACATTAGTGGTTAGTCTTTTTCTGGTCTTAACTCTTACTTTTTAGTTAAATTGTACAGTTTTCTAAACCTCTATTCGAGCTTTCTTACTCAGATTATTTAATATTGTGTGACAGCCAAACACAAAATGTTGCCATATTGTTGAAATCAAGATGAAAAAACATTATCAATACCTGAATTCATCACCCAAAGTTGACTTTTTTTCCCATTTTCAAGAAGAGAATTTGCAGCGTTTGTTAAAATGTTGCATCCAAGTGTGATTTAAATGCGTTAAAAGTTGTGTGCCGACTGTTTCTGCCATCTCCTAATACTTCTGTCATGCGTGATGCACAATGATTCAACTCTGTGTGTCCATGGGAAATTATAACTGTGTTTTTTTTCTATTGCACTGTAATTGCATTATTTGTCGGAGAGAGGATAATTGAAGTCATCTTGGGCCATGTCCTGCACAAGGTTCATTTGCCTGCATGTTCAAACGCTCCTGGTGGTTTAATGAGCTCGAGCTAAAAAAGGTTCTGGTCAGGAAACATGTTGTCAAAAAGTGTAGATTTACCTGAAGCTGTTTTTGCAGTCCGGCATTTCCTGCCATTATTATTTGTTTCCTGCTCTATTCTACAATTGCAAAGTCACATTCAATTACTCATGAATGTGCCAGGGCAAATGAATGGAAGGTGTGAAGAATGACATGGGTAACAAAACCAGTTGGAAATGAGGAATACAATCAATATCCAACCGACGGAACATTAAAGTCCCCCTCCACAATGTGCTCTGCTTATTGTAGCTTCACTGTGCAGAATGATGTGCAGACTCAGCCATCTGCTGAAAGGTTTTCCAGTCTGATTACTTTAAACCTGAGTTTACGACGTGTCTGCACAAGCAGGATTTTGTCACAACACAACAATCGATCCAATATGGTCCAACACTTACTTGCTCAGGCTTACTCAGGTGTTATGTAGAAACTTGACACCTTGAGTCTGTTTTGATTCAACCTGCAATAACTGATTTTTTTGGCCACTTAGAGGCAGAGGAAACAGGTTGTAAACAAAACAAAAGTTAATATTGTGTACTTGTAAGGAAATTGTTTATTTACACATCCAGAAGTTACAGATCAACGTAATCATTCATTTGAAGTCATGTTTTTGGTGAACTTGCGTATGTAAGTCCAATATTCACTGTCTTTCTCTCAGGGAAATATCTGGTGCTTCAGCAGCTAAATGCTCTACTTTGTTCTCCAGGTAGTCGCTAAATATGCGTCTTCTGCAGTAAGGTGGTGGTGTACAGTGGGGGTTTTTAGAGCTGTTTCATGAAAAAAAACTGCTGCAGCCAAAAAACGGCACCATGAGAGCGGCGAGAGTGAACCAAAACAGTAAAGTTGATGGTCGTGCAGCTAAACAATGAGCTGAAACTTGCTATAAAGCTATAAAACTATAGATCATCGCGCCTTTAAGTATGAGACCTCCTGGCTCCAGTAGTTAAACATTTGAAATAATATTTGCAATATTTTTTATATGCAGAAGAAGGAATAGATTAGATAGAGAATAGATTATAGAAGTTAATTCAACTTTTTTGAGGGAAAACCATACCAGACACATATTATCATTCAAAGCAGAGTACATGTCTAAAGTTAAGATACAGTCAGTGGGGGAACATAAGAGTGCTCAGTACAAGTAAATAGCGCAACCTGACCTGCTTCACCGAGACAGTGCCAAAAGAAGTGTACCACACTTTAAATGTCAATCAAATAATTAATAAAAAAGCCTCCAGGAACAGCATTTACTGTCCTCCACTATCCTCCTTCATTTATTCCCCTTTGTGCAGAAAAGAAATAAACATAATCGTGTTAAATATTTCCAAAATTAGGACATATTATTTTAGTTTAGCTTGTAGTTAGACTTCGACCCAGTAAGCTGAAGTAATTGAAAACTTGTGCAAAAACCAACCATGTTCTCTTTATCATCAGACAGCTAGGTTTGTGTTTGTGGCTGTGTTAAGTTTACAAGCACAACATTTAGAAACAAAAGCCATATACATACACACATATTCTCAATTCCCAAGTTAAATTACTTTCAAATGATTTCTAGAACATCTGGGAGATGAGTTAATCACATCAGGAGGAATCTTTTTCCTTGGCTTTAATTTGCTTGGGATTTTGATACATCCCCCAGATTCCTCCCTCTGCCTCTCAGTAAAGTCTCTGCTGGGAGATTTGCAATAAGGTGCAGTCATTACAGATGATGCACCTTTACTTAATATTATAATCATTTTCATCCAATTACAGGTTCGCTAGGAAATCGGATTTTCATGTTTGTCCTTACTTCCTGTTGCTCCATTTAGCCGTTCCGTGAGATCAGAGCGCTGTCATCCAGGGTCATTACCTCATTTGTCCACATGTTTATCCGTTTATGTGTCGCTCCTCTCGGATTGTACACAGCAATAATTTGAATGTATTTATAGTTGTCTTTGTTATTGTTACTGAGTGTGTTACTGCTGATCTGGTCGCAGGATGTGCTCTGTCGCTGCTCAGCAGTTAAATTTAATGTGACAAAACATTAATGTGCCATAGCATCACATACACTACAGTAAACACAGTGACATGTTGTGAGGATGCTGACTATTCTGGGTGTTACAACGCCCATAAAACCAAAACCAAAGAGAAGGAGAATGTGACCACATTAGTCTTTTGATACACTTAAAGGTGCAGTGTGTAACATTTAGGAGGATCTATTGGCACAAATGGAATATAATAGGTGTGTTTTCATTAGTGTATAATCACCTGAATATAGGAATTGTTGTGTTTTTGAGCCATTTTTATCTGCAGACGCCGTGTGTCGCCTTCCAAACTGGTCCAAATATCTGGGAAAGTGTAAAAACATCCTATTGTGGTTTTACGCATGGTGGTTAAGCTAAGGTAACTGGCTGCACACTGACTGATTGGTCATCTAATTCTTCTTTTTTCATCCAATGGGGTTTATGTGCTGAAGTATTTTTTATTTATTAGAGCTAGCAGCTGTTTAGCTCAACCACCGCGCGTAAAACGTCATTTTTAAAATGTGGTTTTCGTACTTATCAAACATGATACTTTATGTGTTAATTAATGAGTGTTGGTATGTATATTTTTTTGCTTTTGCGCAAAGCCAGATTAGCTATTTCTCCCAGTTTCCAGTCATTATGCTAAGCTAGGTTAACTTCTGGCTGTAGCTTCATATTTACCATGCAGAAATGGCATCAATCTTCTCATCAAACTCTCGCCAAGAAAGCCAACTTCCCAAAATGGCGAATTGTTCCTTTAAAACATTTACTGTTTTTATGATTTCTGTAGCTAGATATGGCCTGGTTATATTGGTTTTACCAACACTGAAACTGATTTTCTAATGTGTGTAGGTGTCTCAGTGAGCGTTTCCACATTCAACCTGGTGGCCATTTCCCTGGAGCGCTACAGCGCCATTTGCAACCCACTGACCTCCAGGACGTGGCAGACCAAGTCCCACGCCGCCAAGGTCATCACTGCCACCTGGGTGGTGTCCTTCATCCTGATGCTGCCCTACCCGATTTCCAGCACCCTCAAACCCTTCACCCGACGCAACAACAGCACCGGGCACATGTGCCGCCTGGTGTGGCCCAATGACGTCATCCAGCAGTCCTGGTGAGCTGGAAATAAGTGCATTAGGGAGCGTCGTACCTTTCCCATCCCGCCAGGGTGTCTTCACACTCAGAAGCACTCAGATTGTGTGGCAGCTAAAGCAGCACATTCCTAATTTCAGATGGCCTCTTTATTGATTTTCTCAGTGTGGCGCTGCTGGTGAGAGACGACCACTTGGGAAAAATCGTCTGGCATGACACAGATCTGACCCTTCAAAATAAAAAAAACACAATCTTAAATCAATGATGTTAAAGTATATTTGTCAGGTTGATTACACTTACACAAAACCAACACATGTTGACAAAAGTGCTTTTCCGGACTGGATTAAAAGTACATTTAAATCATTATAATGAAAAATAAAATTACCCAGCAAATTAAATTTAAACAATCACATTGTCATTATGATATTAGTCTAAACTCAAAGGCAGGGGGTTTTTCATTTTAGCAAAGGAATTTGGATCTGGTGTTGATTTAAATTAGCTCTTTGGCATCCACTTACTGGCCTAAATGTGTCCCTTGCAGGTACGTGTCCCTGTTGTTGCTGCTCTTCCTAATCCCCGGGATCGTCATGATGACAGCCTATGGACTCATTTCTCTAGAGCTCTACCGGGGAATCAAATTTGAGGTGTCCAACAGGAAATCTAGCAGAGGTATGAAAATAAAACACAGCAAGTGATCGAAATCAGTCAGGCATTTTTCTATGTTTTTCCTATTGTCGAAGAAAATTCCATGAAAAGACTAAAACCAACGATGCCTTTGTACGATGTACAACTTTGCTAATTTGTCTGTTGTATTCAGCTGAGTCCACTGGTTTTAACTGTAGTACATAGTTACATTAAAAGAAATGTTAAATAACCTCCAAAAATAGGTGGGCACTAGATTTTTAGCAAAGATTAAAATTGAGTAAAAGGTGGGCTTCTTTGGGACTACTTTCAGCCATGGATTGATACACATTTGGTGCAGTGTAATGTTGTGGCTTATCAGTGTGTTTTTAATAAGTTTTGGACAACATTTGAGGTTTATGGCACAGATGAATGAGCTTTATAACGACTACACAGACGATACTTGTTATTAGGATCCCTTTATATCACCATGATCCTTCAACTTGACATGACATCTTCTGGAAATGCAGTCCTGTTTTCCATTTGTAGGTCGCAAGTGACAGACATGACCCAAATCTTCTGCGTCAGGACTGCTTTGCTCCTGCATCTTTTCTTACCGCTGATAAAATGGGACTCTTACACTTTTCTTTTCACATTCTCTTCCCTGACAGACAGACAATCCAGCACCGGCAGCATCAAGCCCGGAGACAGTGACGGCTGTTATATGCAGCCGTCTAAAAGGAAGAGCATCACAGGCAACTCCACCAACTCCAGCAGCAAACCCATGGTGGGCCGTGTGTGTGGCAGCAGCTCTACAGCCAACCTGATGGCCAAGAAGCGCGTGATCCGCATGCTCCTGGTCATCGTCTTCCTCTTTTTCCTGTGCTGGACCCCCGTCTTTGTGGTCAATGCTTGGCAGGCTTTCGACCGGCGCTCGGCCTACCGCCTGACCGGCGCCCCCATCTCCTTCATCCACCTGCTCTCCTACACCTCGGCCTGCGTCAACCCCATCATTTACTGCTTCATGAACAAGCGCTTCCGCCAGGGCATGCTGTCCACGTTCACCTGCTGCAGCTGCTTGAGGAGCGGCGAAGGGAGCAGCGGCTTAGGGAGGTCAGCTGGAATCGGAATGGCTAAAGGGGAAACGGGCAGATCTAGACCGGGGCCAGTGGCCACTGAGCAGAATGGTCATACCCCGCCAAGTGGAGCAAGCACACGATTCACCTACACCGGCATCCGTGCATCAGCCTGGAGTGAGCTGACTTAAACTGGATTGATATGTGTATGTGTGTGTGTTTGTGTGTAAGAGCTCCGGCCTGAGAGCACACACTTAAAGGGAATCTATTGTGTTTTAACGTGAAGCCCTCAAAGTGCTTATAGGACTAGTTTATGAGCATCTATGTCGCTTTAGCTTGGAGTGGGTACAACAGTTAATGACTGTGGAGCAAAATCGATGTACTTTCAGTGCTTTCACAACAGATCAACACAGCCAGATGTTTCCCTAAGGCTTGCAGTGTCCAGGGTGGATGCCTTGGTCAGGTTTTTATGAAGCAGAATACCAATTTATGTAGTTAACCACTCTCCTTATACTCCCTTTAACAAGTGGCAAATACGTCTGGTGGTTGATGTTGTCAACCGTTCTTAAAGATCGGTTGACAAAAGAATCTCACCTTAAGAGCAATTTGATTACTGGTCTGGAGTCATCATCTTCATCCGCAGATCGACTAGTCCAGCCCAGTTCACGTCCACGTTAAAGAATGACCTTTGAAACTTAACTTTGAAGCCAACGTGGTCCTTAAAGTGCTCAGAAAAAAGGGGAATTTGCTAATTAAGGTCATGCGATATGATCAAAAGCTCTTAAACAGCTACTAAACAGAGGTCGAGATTGCTTCCAGGAAGTCGAGATCGGACTACCAGTTTTAGCAAGTTTAGCTCCCTCAATAACAAATCATGTATAATTTCCCCTGACCACATTAAGCACGCACATTTTCATTTTTATATGTATTTTTCCTTCTTTCCAGGCAGCCATTGGTCTCCTAATGCAGCTTTAAAGAAATTGTTTCACATTTTGAGAAACTGCTTGTCGAGAGCTAGATGAGAAGATCGATGGGGCTAAAGCTGGGAGGCAGTTAGTTTAGCGATTAGCAAGACTGGTAGCAACGGGAAGCAGCTAGCCTGTCAATACCTGCCCAAACCCCTCTATAATCACTATAATTAACACTTTGCATGGCATGTGTTTAATCCTTCACTCCAACTGAAGTGGTAAAAAAACGGGAAGCTCTTCCTGTTGGTGTACTAATGCTCTGTATGCTAAGCTAAGCTAATC